GTGGCCCATATCGCGATAGGGACCCCCGAAACCGCGACAGTGCACGCTCTATCGCGACAGAGTCACCCCTAATGCACCTCTCTGAGCTCGTAGGGTCCATGCCACAGCGACAGCCCTGCCCTATCGCGACAGCGTGCCCCATATCGCGATAGGGACCCCCCCCAAATCGCGATAGGGACCTCCCAAATTGCTATAGGGACTCCCAAAATCGTGACAGCAGCCCTCTATCGCGACAGAGTCACCCCTAATGCACCTCTCTGAGCTCGTAGGGTCCATGCCACAGCGACAGCCCTGCCCTATCGCGACAGCGTGCCCCATATCGCGATAGGGACCCCCCCCAAATCGCGATAGGGACCTCTGAAATTGTGACAGCAGCCCTATATCGTGACAAAATCTCCTCTAATGCCGCTCCCTGAGTTCGTAGGGTCCCTCCCACAGCGACACCCCCACCTTGTCATGACAGCGCGCCCCATATCGCGATAGGGACCTCCCAAATCGCTATAGGGACCCTCCAAACTGCGGCAGCAGCCCTCTATCGCGACAGAATCTCCTCTAACGCCGCTCCCCGACCTCGTAGGGTGTGTCCCCTGAGCCATCCCCTGTCCTATGGGCTGTCCCCTGAGCTGTCCCTTGTGTCCATCCCCTGTCCCTTGTCCCCTGAGCCATTCCATGTCCCCTGACCTGTCCTCTGTCCCCTGAGCTGTCCTTTGTGTCCATCCCCTGTCCCCTGTCCTGTGAGCCATACCCTGAGCCCTGACCTGTCCTCTGTCCCCTGAGCTGTCCCTTGTGTTCATCCCCTGTCCGCTGTCCCCTGTCCCCTGAGCCGTTCCATGTCCCCTGACCGTCCCCTGACCATCCCCTGTCCCCTGACCTGTCCCCTGTCCCCTGGGCTGTCTCTTGTGCCCCCTGACCCGTCCCCTGACCCCTGTTCCCTGTCCCCTGTCCCCTGACCGTCCCCTGTCCTATCCCCTGTCCCTTGGGCTGTCCCTTGACCCGTCCCCTGTTCCCTGAGCTGTCCCCTGTCCCCTGACCTGTCCCCTGATCCATCCCCTGTCCCCTGACCATCCCCTGTCCCCTGACCCGTGTCCCCCGTCCCCTGACGGCGCTCCCCAGGACGAGAAGTACTGGAGCCGGCGCTCGCGGAACAACGCGGCGGCCAAGCGCTCGCGGGACGCGCGGCGCCTCAAGGAGAACCAGATCTCGGTGCGGGCGGCGTTCCTGGAGCGCGAGAACGCCGCGCTGCGCCTCGAGGTGGCGGCCGCCCGCCGCGAGCTGCAGCGCTTCCGCGCCATCCTGGCGCGCTACGAGGCGCGCCACGGGCAGATCTGAGCGATCCCGGGATCCTGGAGGGGTTTGGGATCTGCCTGGAGGGGTTTGGGGTGACCTCAGGTGATCCAGGATGGCCTCAGGTGATCCAGGACTGATCCAGGTGATCCAAGACTCATCCAGGATGGCCCCAGGTGATCCAGGACTGATCCAGGACAGTTCTAAAGCTTCCGCGCCATCCTGGCGCGCTACGAGGCACGCCACGGGCAGATCTGAGTGATCCCGGGATCCTGGAGGGGTTTGGGATCTGCCTGGAGGGGTTTGGGGTGACCCCAGGTGATCCAGGACTGATCCAGGACAGCCCCAGCGCTTCCGCGCCATCCTGGCGTGCTACGAGGCGCGCCACGGGCAGATCTGAGCGATCCCGGGATCCTGGAGGGGTTTGGGATCTGCCTGGAGGGGTTTGGGGTGACCTCAGGTGATCCAGGACTGATCCAGGTGATCCAAGACTCATCCAGGATGGCCCCAGGTGATCCAGGACTGATCCAGGACAGCCCCAACACTCCTGTGCCATCCTGGCGCGCTACGAGGCGCGCCACGGGCAGATCTGAGCGATCCTGGGATCCTGGAGGGGTTTGGGATCTGTCTGGAGGGGTTTGGGATGGCTCCAGGTGATCCAGGAGTGCCCCAGGTGATCCAGGACTGATCCAGGTGACCCAAGACTCATCCAGGATGGCCCCACGTGATCCAGGACTGATCCAGGACAGCCCCAGCGCTCCTGTGCCATCCTGGTGCGGCACGGGCAGATCTGAGGGATTTGGGGAGTTTGGGATCCGCCTGGAGGGGTTTGGGATGGCTCCAGGTGATCCAGGATGGCCCCAGGTGATCCAGGACTGATCCAGGACAGCCCCAGCGCTTCCGCGCCATCCTGGCGCGCTACGAGGCGCGCCACGAGCAGATCTGAGAGATTCGGGGAGTTTGGGATCCGCCTGGATCCATCCGTGGGTTTGGGATGGCCTCAGCTGATCCAGGACTGATCCAGGTGATCCAGGATGGCTCCAGGTGATCCAGGACTGATCCAGGATGGCCCCAGCGCTCCTGTGCCATCCTGGCGCACCACGGGCAGATCTGAGCGATCCCGAGGATCTGGGATCCGCCTGGAGGAGTTTGGGGTGGCCCCAGGTGATCCAGGACTGATCCAGGATGGCCCCAGGTGATCCAGGATGGCCCCAGGTGATCCAGGATGGCCCCAGGTGATCCAGGATGGCTCCAGGTGATCCAGGGCAGCCCCAGGTGATCCCAGACTGCCTTGGAGGGATTGGGAGTGCGCCGAGAGCCTGGAGAGGTTTGGGGACAGTTTGGAGAGATTTGGGACAGCTCACGGCGATCCAGGAACGCGGGATCCTGCGGGACAATCCGGGATCCCAAGCGGATCCAGCACCGGGAGCCAGGACTGGGATCCAGTGAGGAGATCCAGAACCAGGAGCCAGTGATGGGATCCAGAACCGGGATCCAGAACTGGGACCGGGTGCTGGATCCAGAACCGGGATCCAGTGAGAAGATCCAGAACCGGGATCCAGTGAGAAGATCCAGAACCGGGATCCAGTGAAGGGATCCAGAACCGGGATCCAGAACCGGGATCCAGTGAAGGGATCCAGAACTGGTATCCAGAACCGGGATCCAGTGGGGAGATCCAGAACTGGGATCTGTTGAAGAGATCCATGGCTGGGACCCAGATCCAGGATCCAGTGAAGGGATCCAGAACTGGGATCCAGCTAAGAGATCCAGGATTTGGATCTAGAACCGGGACCCAGTGAAGGGATCCAGAACCGGGATCCAGAACCGGGATCCAGTGAAGGGATCCAGAACCGGGATCCAGGACTGGGATCCAGAACCGGGATCCAGCACCGGGATCCAGTGAGAAGATCCAGAACGGGGATCCAGAGCCGGGATCCAGAACCAGGATCCAGTGAGAAGATCCAGAACCGGGATCCAGGATTGGGATCCAGAGCCGGGATCCAGCTAGGAGATCCAGGATTTGGATCTAGAACCGGGATCCAGAGCCGGGATCCAGTGAGAAGATCCAGCACCAGGACCCAAAATCGGAACCCAGCACCGGGACCCAGCACCCCCCACCCCGGGGGGGGGGGCGAT